AGAAGAAGAAGAAGAAGAAGAAGAAGAAGAAGAAGAAGAAGAAGAAGGTGGCTCAGAGGTGGCCTGTTCCCACAGAGATGATGGCAGACATGGATAGATCACACACACATAGAAATACACACACACACACACACACACAGAGAGAGAGAGAGAGAGAGAGAGAGAGAGAGAGAGAGAGAGAAGGCTCAGGGGTGACCTGTTCCCACAGAGGTGATGGCAGAGATGGATGGATGATGGACAGGCTATCATAGAAACAGACTAAGAACAGGGAAGAAAACTGGGCTTGGGTTCTGCCATCTCCTGTAACTGCAGCCCCGAGAGGAAAGGGAGACAGGCTGAGGCACATCCCACTCTAGAGCATTCCCCATCCTAAGAATCAGGACCCGCCCTCCTTCCTTCCCTTTCTGCCGGATTCCTTCACTCTACCCAGCGTGGTGCAGCAGAGCAAAGCTGAACTCTCCTTGCCTTGGGGAAGTCCCTGTCAACTGCCTCCCGCTGTGGGAGAGGACTGGAGTATGCCACGGGTCAAGCGGCAGGTGGGGCTCAGCCTGTTTGGGAGACAATGACTAAGGCAGGGTGCTGAGAAGAGGTGGCCTCTGAGCGTCAAAGGCTGAGTAGCAGTTTTCCAGGAGAGAAGGAAGGGAGAATTCCAGGCAGAGAGAAGTTAGGTGCAAAGGTCAGGAGGGTCAGAGGGTGTGTGTGTGTCCTGGAGGTGGGGAGATCTCAAGGAGTTGGGAAGAGACAAGGATGAAGGCTGCAAGGCCCAAAACTGTGTTGTGCCTTGTTGGGCCGAAGAGTGAGAATAGTAATTCCCAGGCTGGGTCACAAGTCTCTGAGGGACCCTGGGGACTTTGCGGCAGTTCTGTGATGCTCTGTCCTTTCTAAGTACTTACCTGTGTGAAAAAAAATAGGATTTATTTTTTTCCCTGCTGTAGAATCTCATGTAGCTTCTGATGGTCCTGTTTCTACCCTGCAAGCACCAGGATGACAGGCGGGTACCACCACACCCAGTTCATGCACTGCTAGGAATCGAACGCAGGTCTTCGTGCACGCTGACAATCCCTCTATCAATGGAGCGACACCTTAATCCCACCCCCGAAAGATTATTTTCCATGCTTCTACTCACAGGGCTGGGCAGCAGGCTGAGGCAGGGGATTGGAGACGCTACGGGGCTTTGGAGGCATTCATAGATCAGCAAAAATGTGGAGCATCAGGGCTGGGGGCTGCTTAGCGCGTGTGAGGTCCTCGCTGGGGTTTGCTTAGCGCGTGTGAGGTCCTCGCGTTGGCCCCCAGCAATGCACACAAACATACAATATATGAAGAGCAAGATCATGCTGCTTGAAAATAGTTATTTCCTGAAACCTGTTGTTTAAAAATAGTTTTTGCTTGTTTGGTTGGTTGGGTTTTTTGTTGTTGTTGTTGTTTTGTTTTTTTTGTTTTTTGGTTTTTTTTTTTTTGAGACACGGTTTCTCTGTAGCTTTAGAGCCTGTCCTGGAACTAGCTCCTGTAGACCAGGCTGGCCTCGAACTCACAGAGATCCGCCTGCCTCTGCCTCCCGAGTGCTGGGATTAAAGGTGTGAGCCACCGCTGCCAGGAAGAAGACACTCTGTGTAAGTTCAGGGCCAGCAGATAAACTGAGGCAGAGATAAAATAGGGTTGTGTTTCTGACGGGAAAACAGAACTGGAATGTTTCTTTTAATTCTAGACTATTCCTTCCTTACCCCTCCGTCCCTCAGGCTATCACTGATGTGCACAAACAGACAGCTGGACAAAAGGAGATTCAGAGTCCTGGTGGGCATGGACCAGGATGAGGACACAGGTTTCCAGAATGAGGTGTGGGTAGCTCTGATTACATCCCAGCCCTGTGGTTGTGAAAAGCTGCCTGCACCCATGGCTCCTCCCTGGGAAGCTGGGGGACTGGTCAAGTTGAGGAAGTCACATGAGACAAACCTGTGGCTAATAGTAGATGCTCAGCGAACCTTTGCTGTTGTTAGTGATCTGTTAAAGGCATGCTCACTGAAAGAGCCTAGAAAAGTCAGAGCGCAGAGCGGTGCTGAGGGTCCCCGGTGCCTATCTGCAACCATCTCTGACCCCACCATCATCACCTCCCAGCCCCGCCCTTCTACGGGTGAAGTATTTCCAGCCTGAGAACCTCCCAGAGCCAGGAATTGGGGTCCACACTGTTTGGAGCAGGCACTGCGTCGTCTGACTTTTATACATATCTTTCATGTCTTCAACGATGCAGGTTTCTGGAGCCAACCTGCAAGGCTTTGCTTGCAACACATCCTCCTCCTTTAGCATGGGCTGCACAAGGGGCTTCCTTCTCTTTTCTGCTAACCTCATGGAGCCATAATGATCCATCTGGCATTGAGAACCAAAACATAGCCACTTGTTCCAGTTCTTTTGGTTTATGCCATAGATGAGCAGGCATGAATTTTAACCCTCTTCTCTAACCTGGATTAAAACAGCATCCTTGCATGAGGCTTTCCTAACGTTGCCTATACCTCCTTGCCAACTATACATTTGGAATAAGAACAATACTTTAACCTTATGTTAAAACACCTATCTTTCTCTTTGTTTTTGCTGTTATCTTCATTACTGGGCTTGTTAGACCCACCTGGCATGGTGGCTACTTTTCTTGATTGAGCTGTGTTTTGTGGGTAAGGAACTGAGGTCCAGAAAGGTTGGGTGGCTTGTTCAGGCTGTACAGAAACTGACGACATGATCACTCCGTGCTATGGGAAGGCTTTATTGTAGACGTAAGAAGGAGAAGAGCCAGATGCATCCAGAAGAATCCAGAGCAGAGGGAGGAAGTAAACTGAACGATGCCAGCAGACTGACCATGGAGAGAGGAGGGAGAATAGAGCGAGCATAGTGAGACTACTAGCAAGGGCAGGAGCTTTGCACAGTGAGAGAAGCTGAGTCTAAGAAGGTTGAGTAGCTTGGGGGAGAGAAGGGCCGGGAGACCGGTGAGGGCCCTTTTAAATGTCTAACAAGTACCTGTGCTCGTGTGCTCGAGTAGAGGCGGGGGGAGCCTGGGGGCTAGCATGGACCTTGATATGAGATTGGTGCCAGAGGTAATTGTTAATTGGAGAGCTGTGTGTCCCCGTTGCTGGAGGTAAGGGAAATGGCTCTTTTTGATAGGTAGGAACAGGCTTCACAGAGTCCCGAGGAACGCTGGCTTTTAACCGACTGCCAGGAATCCTCCTACAGCCCAGCTCAAGCTCAGTTCTGGATATTTGGACTGCCTTTTGGAGTCTGGGGAAATTAGAGTTTCCTTTGGACCTGACAGACTAACGCTGATAGTTTCCAGCAGGTCCTCTCCGTGTGTGGACCCTCTGTTACTTTCCAGGGCTACCAGAACAGCTTGCAGCAGAGTTGGTGGCTTAGAGCAACGGGAAATTATTTTCTCACAGTTCTGGAAGCCAAAAGGTGGGTGGCACCTGCTGGGCCAGGCTTTCTCCAGACTCTGGGAAGGATCCTTGCTCACTGCACCCAGTCTCCGGAGGCTCCAGGCCTCTGATTACCCAGCTCAGATCTTGGCCTCTGTCTTCACACAGCCTCTTCCTCTTCTGCTTGCTTCTCTCCTCTGCTGTCTTTTATGTGGGCACAGGGTCTATGCAGCCCAGGCTGTCCCAGGCCCTGTGACCTTCCTGCCGCAGCTAAAACGCCCAGTCTTGTCACCCCACATTCTCTGTTACGTCTTGGCATTGAATCTAGGGCCCCCTGAGTAATCTAGGAAGAACTCTCCTTGATATTTCTCACTTCATTCCATCTGTGAAGACTTTTTAGCAAATAAGGTCTCAATTTGTGTGTGTGTGTGTGTGTGTGTGTGTGTGTCTGTGTATACACACCCATACATTTTTTGGGGGGGGTGGGGAGGAACCATAGTTCAATCCACTCCACCATCTTCAGTGACACCTCCCCACCCCAGCCACCATATAGGGAATTTAAAAATAGTAATTCAAGCCAGTTACTGGCCTCAAATTAATCCTGCTGGAAGCCCATTCCAACAGGAAGCAAATAAAATAAGCCCAGATGTTGTACAGCCCTGTTTTAGGAAGCGTCCACAGCACAAATCAAGATGCTTTGTTTTATAAATGAGTCCCTTCTGTCCCTTTCTCACCAGCACTGTCTCAGAGGGACATCTCTGCCACCCTCAAAAGGGTGTGCTCTCTTCTGTCTGTGCCTTTGAAAGGCAGTGTTTATCTCACGGCAGAGAAAGAAGACCCTGGCCATTTGGGCTCCTCTACGTTTAGTTTACAGACTTCTGTCTGTGTGACACCAGCCACAGTTCTAATGGATTCTGAGCCTCATTGCTCAAGAGCAAGTTCTCCGTTGCCCCTTCCCTGGCACAGATACCCACATCAGCTAAGTAGTCATCCCCACACAGGGCCCAGTCACCTCCTTGGCTCACTAATGAGATGACGTATTCTCTTTCTCTGCTACCTCCCAGTTGTGGATGCTTTCAAAACAAACAACAGAAAACCCATCGTCACAGGGCACACTGACACAGGCTTGTAATCCCAGCCCTTGGAGGCTGATGTGGAAAGACTGCAAGTCAGTGCTTGCCTTGGCTGCATGGTGGGACTCAAAGCAAGATGAAATAAAGAACACACACACACACACACACCCATACGATGTTTATGTGTATTGTGGGTAAGACAATGAAACAACATTGTTATGACTATGTTAGTTACTTGGCTCAACACTCTGACAAAATACCTAATAGAAACCAGTCCGAAACGTTCTACGACTTCCCCAAGCTCACCCCAACCTGGCATAGGAGCCTGTGGGGGACAATTCCCTGGCAAACAGCAACACCTAATGTTGAAGAAGAAGCTCTCCGTACCCTGCTGTCATGACTACCAGTTTGGCTTAATCTGTCTGTGACGTTCACCTGACAGTCATCGTGGAAGATGAGGATTGGGGTTATTTTGCTTTTTCTTTTTTTCACTTTGTTTATTGCTAACACATTTGTTGACCACTTATTATTCAGCGACCTTATTCAGATCACACAGGTGCCACTGTGTCTTGCAGTTTTAACACCATCATCAAGATTATCTTTTTAAATGGCTTCCTAATAATGGAATTGCCACTACACCGCAACTTAGGTATTAGGAAGAAGTCCAACAAAGGAGAAGATCTGTTGCCATCCTTTGTGGAAAGGTCAGAGGTAGCTTGGCACAGAGGTATACCCCTGTGGTCCCAACCTCAGGAGCTGAGACAGGATGACGGATTTGGCTTCAGGTATGGCTGGAAGCAGGTGTTTAGGTGCTACCGAGGATCCATGCCCACTACCTGGTCTTGCTTTCTCCCGGCTGGCTTCATTTTCATGCATGCTTCCCACAGGAGGCCATACACTGGATACCAGAGTCTGTAGTGTGCCAGCTCCGAATTAAAGCAAGTAAGCAGGGGAGCAAACAAATAAATAAATCCCTCCTTTCCTCAAGGTCTCCAACAAAAGACCAAGACCAGCGTTCATTAGAACAGTGGATGGCGTGACCATCTCTGGACCCCCCTCTGATCAGGAAGGGATGTGGTCCTCTCGTTGCTCCGGCCTTGGTCTCAGGTTCTGCCCATGACCAGTGATTACCAGCAGCTCCGTTCAAATTGCATTGGTAGAGAGTAGAGAGGGAAGGTGATCCCTTCATGTCTAATTGGGGTGCTGTTGATAGAAGGAGGAGGAACGGGAATTTGGCAGGCAGGGACCCTTCCATCATATCCTTTGTGGGACGTTTCAGGAAAGTTCTAAAGAGACTGACGATGCAGAGGCTTCTGGGAGACCATGATTCCTTCATCCCATTGGGGCAGCTCTCTCTGATCTAGTTTAAGTATGGTTCTTCCACATGGGATTGTGTTGTGTATGAAGTGAGGACTCTGGGGGAAGGGGAGCACTTAGGGGACAGTGAGATCGCTCAGCAGGTAAAGAGGGTTGCTGCCGAGCCAAGGAATTGGGAACCACGTAATAGATGGAGAGAATCAACTTAACAAGTTGTCTACATACACACAGTGGCACACTTGTGTACACACATAGCAAGCGAGCAAGCAAGTGAGAGAGAGAAGGAAGGAGAAACAGAAATAAAGGAAATCATAAAGAGATTAAGAACATTTAAAAAGCAGTGGTCATATGTGCCGTCTACCTCCAAATGGTTGAGACTACTCGATGTTCTTCTTTGTCTCCTCTAAGCCTGTTAAGTTGCTGGTTTGGTTTTCTTTCACCTCCCTCCTCCCCTCCCAGCTTTTCCCCTCAGCACTTCTCGCTACAGCATAAGCACAGAGACATGTGCCTAGGTCGGTGTGATGGGGCCAAGATGGGGCAGGACCTCCACTTAGGCTCGCCCTTCCCCTTCCTCTGATCCTGCCAGTCAGACCCTCCCCTATTCCCTCCCCACCCCACCCCCACTCCGGCTCCCTGAGACCCTGATAGTGCTGGCCTGACCTCTCTGGTAACGGAGTCCTCTCTCCCTGGCCCAGGTCCTGGCCATCCTGATGGATGTCTTCACAGACGTGGAGATCTTCTGTGACATCCTAGAGGCAGCCAACAAGCGAGGGGTATTCGTCTGTGTGCTGCTGGACCAGGGAGGGCTGAGGCTCTTCCAGGAAATGTGTGACAAAGTCCAGATCTCTGATACTCATCTCAAGGTAGGGGCTCAGTGACAGTTCTAACGGATGCCCTGTGTCCATCAGATAGAACGGTGGCAGCTCACGCCCCATCTCCATATCTCAAGAAGGCTTACTTCTTGCTCAAATTTCTACATAGACCAACCAGTCCTCTTTGGTCTTATACTCTCTTCTAAGGTGTATGGGGTTGAGAAAGAGGACTGGAGACTTCTGAAGGCTATTATTAGGCCCTGACCTGGATGAGGTGTTCATCATTTCTATCTATAATCCTTTGTCCTGGAAGGAATGGATGTATAGGGCCTGAGATGTTTCAGGGCACCATGACTACCCAGGAAAGAGGCTACATTTTTCTCTCTTCCTCTCAGCTTCAGAAACAAAGTTTATATGCCTCATAGCACAGGGCAACCCCAAGGACCAGGAGGATGTGTCTTGAACTCCCTGATCCCAACAGAAAGTTGATGCTCTTAGTTTAACTAGATCTTCCTCTAGGTACACACATACATACTTCCCTCTCCTGGCAGGAGAAACACAGAGATAAGAATTTAATTAGTCATGCAAATTTGGGAGCATTGAATCGAAGTCAAAAGGAAACCCAGCCATAACTTTCATGAATAGATCTGGCTGAACAGCCAAAGGATGATCGTCTGGGTTCCTTTTATATCCCCCTCTCAACTCAAACACATCAGCCTCCAAAATACCGCCCCCACCATACACACACTGCCTGGGAGGCAACTTAGTTCAGGGATTCCTCCTGATGTCACTGTCTACAACCAGAGTTTGCCTGACCTTCCCTGCACCTCTACTCCTTAACAAAAGGTCATTATAATAGACTGAGAGTCCATGCAGGCCTTGCCATCATGGACCGCACCTGCAGAGCAGTGCCTATGTCCTCTTGCCGCTAAGATGCTGGGAGGAGCTTCTAGAGGCACTGGAGTGCTCTTCCTGGAGATTGGAGGCCATGGACAGGCATTGGTGGGGTCCTGGCAGTATTCCACAACCCTTGGCCATAAACCTAAAGGAAATTCCCACGCACTCCCTGCTTTGATGTTTATAAAGTCTTCCATGGGGTCCAGCTGAGGCATGGACACCAGATACTGCCAGGAAGATAAGATACAGAGTTAAGATTGAGGTCGTGAACACACCTTTTCCCCAAATGGTCCAGGGTCCACGGTGGCCTTCACAATACTGCTTCCTCTTGCTATACTAGGCCAGCTCTCTGGCCAGCTTAGTAAGGAACTCAGGCCACTAAAGCCTCCTATGGACTTGCTCCTTGATAATTCAAACCTTTTGTGGTCCATGAAGGCCTACACTAGTGCTCCTTGGTCATCAAACCTCATCTTTCTTTTATTTGCTTTCTTATTTCTTGTTGGAATTCTACCGTTTCCCCCCCAATTACCATCTATTGCCAGAGCAAAGGCGGGGGGGGGGGACTTAGAAAACTAGGCCAACAAAAAATGTAAATAATACAAAATCTCTCCAAGCTTAGATAAAATCTTGGTGAACATCCTTCCAATTTCCTATGCAAATTGTCTCGGCGTGTTTGGGTTGCTATAGCAGACTGTCGTAGACTGGGTGGCCGAGAAACAACTGAGATTTATTTCTCACCGTTCTGGAGGCAGAGAAATCTAAGATCAAGATGTCTACAAATTCAGTGTTTGGTGAGGCTCTCCGCCTTGTTTGTAAATGCCTGTCTCGCCGTGTCTTCTTCATATGGCGTACAGAATGGGGAACTCTCCAGTCTGTTACACGGGGCACTAATCCCTTTACGAGGCTCCACCTTTAGGAGCCAATTACGTCCCAAAGGTCGTGGAACCACTGCATTGGAGATTAGGTTTCAACATAGAATGGGTTGGGGGGCATGTTCCATCATAGCCCAGATGTTTATCAATAAACACACAGATAATAAATGTCACCTCTGCTTTGCCTCCAACAGAACATTTCTATCCGGAGTGTGGAAGGGGAGGTGTATTGTGCCAAGTCAGGCAGGAAATTTGCCGGCCAAATCCAAGAGAAATTCATCATCTCAGACTGGAGATTTGTCTTATCCGGATCATACAGGTGAGTACTGGTTTCAGCCGCTATCATGGCTTACTGGCAGAGAGGGGCTGAGTGGTGCCAACTGGACCCCAACTGCTCCCAGGATATATATCTTCTCCCTGTCCTGGAGTTCATCAAATAAATGGAGTGAGAAGCGAGAAATGGGGCTCCTCCCTGGTCCTGAAACCAGACACAGAATTCTCTTTTTACCTCGCGAGTCTCTTAGGAATTGTTATAAAGCCGTGGATTTGTTGTGTGACATGATCCGTTTTGCTTTTATTTTTTTTACGTTGTATATGTGAGTGCATGCGCATGTGTATCACGGAGGGGGGGGGCTATTTATAGAGGCCAGAGATTGCTTTGTCTTCTTCCTGGCTCTCCCCCTGATCTTCTGAGACAGGGTCTCTCACCATGGTTACATTGGCCCGCTAGGGAGTTCCAGGAAGCTTCCTGACTTTATCTTCCCTGGGTTGGTTTACTGACACGTGGGACCACACTTGGCTTTTCCACATGGGCGCTAGGGACCCTAAATGAGGCCCGCATTGCTTACACAGTAGGCTCTTCACGATCTGAACCATCTCCCTGTCCTCTAACCTTTTATGATTTCAGTGTAAGCAATGTATTGAGATTTATTGATTCACACACAGTTCACCTCCTTGAATGTGCCGTGTGGTTCTCCTTAGCTTGTTTACAGTGTTGCTTAGCCATCGTCACCACAGTCAATTACGGTCACAAGATGCCCTTCCTATTGGCAGTCGCCGCCTTGTTCCTTCAGCACTGTTGGTTCCCTAGGCAACCACAGATCTACTTCCTGTTTCAGTGACTTGGTTTCACCTAGACTTTTTGTATGAAAAATTATATATATACATGGGGCCTCCTATGACAGGTTTCTTTCACTCAGCATAGTGTTTTTGTTTGGTTGTTTGTTTGTTTGTTTGTTTGTTTTCGAGACAGAGTTTCTCTGTAGCTTTGGCGCCTGTCTTGGAGCTAGGTTTTATAGACCAGGCTGGACTCGAACTCACAGAGATCTGCCTGCTTCTGCCTCCTGAGTGCTGGGATTAAAGGCGTGCGCCACCACTGCCAGGCTCAGATTATACTTTTTATGGTATTGATGTCACTAATATTTGCATAGCATCTCAATCTACTTGTGTAGTTATAACAAAAATGCCATAGGCTGGGTAGCATATGAATACTATAAATTAGTCCTGAAGGCTGGGAAGCCCAGGGTAAAACTAGTAGCCAACCTAGTGCCCAACAAAGGCCTATTTCCTGGCTCTCAGACGTTGTCTTTTTATAAGCAGTCCTTGATACCTGTCATCTAGGCAAAACCCCAAAAGATCAGAAACTGATTTTTTTTACTGAGAAGACCTTGGAGTACCACCCCAAAGATCTGTGTTTCATCTCATCTTCAGCCAGCAGATTGTAGAGCAAAGGGGAGCAAAGTCCGTCACTCACAGTTAGTCTTGCCCGTCTGACAGAGGGTCTGCCCTCTGGACAAGTGGTCCACCTTGTCTCTGAGATTCTGCCTCTTCTCACCGGGATCTCTCTATGGAGTAGGAGGGAAGGCTCCCAGATATCAAGGCCACTAAGACTTTTATTCCGCTTGGGCCTGGTGTTTAGTACTTAGATTGAAAGTTAACTCAGGAACAACATATTAGCAGGGTGTGGCTGCTAAGCTACAGGTAGATTCCTTCCTACACAGCGAAGTATAAATGTGCTTTTGTAATACATACTAGGAAATGCCCATAGCATTTTTACTAAGAAAAATTGTTCACACCACCCCCACCCTCCACACACACACAGCAGCAGCAAAAGGGATGAGGGAGTTCTCTGGAGTCTTTTTTGTAGAGGCTCGCCTCTATTGGTTACTGAGCAAGCTCCCTGTAGTTTGTGTTTGTTTTCTTCTTTGTTTGTTTTGCTTTGGTAAGGGCACGCCTCTATTGATTACTGAGCAAGCCGTTTGTAGTCATTGCTGTAGGGACACGCCCGCCATTGGTTACTTTCCTTGTCTGTATGTGTAACATCTGGTGGGTAGGTTCATCAACTCTCTTGCTGCTGGGACCCAACACGAAGACGCTTAAGTGAGTGGAGGTTTGTTCTGGCTCATAGTCAAGGGAAGATAGAGCTGCAGGGGCTTGAGGCATCTGGTCACAGTGCATGCAGAGCCCAGAAGCAGAGAGTTATGAATGCTGACAGCTGGCCTTCTCCTTTTTCTGTAGCCCAGGAACAAAACGGCACCACCACAGTTAAGGTGGACCGTCCCACCTCCATTAACCTCGTTCAGTTAACACCTCCCGGGCTTGACCACGGTCTTGTCTCTTGTGGGATTCACCGTCCTGTCAAGCTAACATTAGCCTCCATGGGGTCTGGAAGGAGATAGATGCTCATGTTAAAAGCAGGGCAGGGATGTAATCCCTTAATGACTGACTCCTCCCCCCAGCAACTGCCTTTCTTTCTTGGCCCCAATTTCTAAAGGCTCCACAACCTCCCAAAATAATGCCACCATCTGGGGGACCAGAATTCCAACAGAAGAGCCCCTGGAAGGCATTTCAGATTCAAACCATGACAGGCATTTAATCTCATGAGTGCTCCACCCTGGAGAACCAATCACTGTCTGACACCCCGCTCCTCCACTCCAGTCTCATTAAGGGTTGGAGTTTTTAACTTGTGAATTTGGGAGAGACATCAACACCAAGTTCTAACACAAACCTCCCTTTTCCCAGATCCTTTGTATTAGCCAGCGTTCTTACAGCGAACTATCAGAGGCTACTGTGAAACCATCAGGAGCCGCGCTGTGTTGTTAAGGGGCCACACTGTTAGACGCTGTTATTAAGGCTACGTCTCTTACAAGAATAAGTTTCTGCTTCCTAAACCTAATGTATCCTGCAAACAATGTGTGACTCCATGACGTATGGCCGCCCCTTGCTAAAAACTCCTGCACCTGTGAGATATGAGTGCCCTTTCACCTAACAAAAATGTGTCTACCCAGAAACCTTCCTGATGCCCCTTCCATGTGATGTGGTCTTGCTCTTAGCTACTCCACAGGCGGTAGCCTGGAGTCCTGCATCCCCCCCCCCCCCCCCCCCCCCAATCTGTCCAGGTGCTAACAGCCAAATATACTAGGCAGCTGTTCTCTATTAATCCTAACCCTTCCCCTGAAAGGAACTTCTTTTTTTTTTTTGGCTTTGGGAGAGGCAGCTGGCCGGCCAACTCAAAATCCAGTTTGCTTGCTTTCATCAGACAATCATGGAATTGTTTTCGTTTTGTTTTTTTTTTTTTTTTTTTTTTCCAGGTCTAACTTTATACAAAGAAAAGTTGTCTTTGGTTCGCAGTTTGGGAAGGTTAGCCTGGCCTCTGGTGAAGGTGGTACAGGATAACTGGGGTGTGAGGGGAAGCCAACGCTCACGTCAGAAACCTAGGCGAGAACCAGAGGAAAGGCAGAGTCACGCTGGGTTTTTGATCACTATTTTATTCGTGTAGAAGGTCCTTTTGCTTCTGTGCATGTCTGTGTACCACATGGTGCCCGGTGCCTGGAGAGGCCAGAAGGGCATCAGATCCCCTGAACTGGAGTTAAAGATGGCTGTGAGCCATCATGTGGTCCTCTGGGAAAGCGTCCAGTGCCATTTCTCCAGCTTGCCCACGATGCCTTTTAAGGGCATAGCTCCCAGTTATCTAAGGTTCTCTACTTAAGCCCCACCTCCTGTAGTTTGTTTACCTAGGGAGGTGAACTATCAGTCTGGGGAGCAGGCCTTAATGCATGCGTCTTTGGCAGACATATCCAAACTATAGCACCATTATGTTCAAACTTTCTGTTTTGTCAAAATAGGACAGTTGCCCCTGTTAGAAAAATATGCCTAAAGTAAGGAAGGCATCTGTAGTTGGGTTCTTTATTCCAACTATTATTATTATTACATTAAAATTCACGTAACATGAAATTAATCATTTCAAAATGTTGAATTCAGTGGCAGTTATTAGAGTCACAACCCTGCACAATCATCACCATTTAGTTATGAAATTTTTTCATCACCCCCCCAACAAAACTCCGTACCCCTTAAGAAGTCACTCTCATTTTCCTTCCTCCCCACCCCTAGAGGCCACCAGGCTGTGCTTTGCATGAATTTACTTCTCTAGGCATTTTATAGATGAGCCAGGCACTATGTGGTATTTTATGACTGGATTTTATTTAATACAGTGTTTGGGGGATTCTACCAGCTGTGACGTGCCTCGGTGTGTCACCCCTCTTAGAGCTGAGCAGTGTTCCACCGTGTGGATGGATCACAGCTTGCTCAACCATTCGCCCTCTACAGGGATGTCCCTGTCCCCAGCATCTAACTGCAGAAGGTCTGGAAATCTCACCCAGGTCCTTTCCTTTTCCAGCCGGGGCTCTGTGTCCGTGGAAGCAGAGGTGATTTAGCTAATGGCTGAAGAGCTGACAGTTACTCTAACCTGATATAGAAATAGAGCACACCAATAAAATGTGCCTTCTAGAACCCATCAGCAGCTCTCCTTCCGCATGACCAGTTATTGCAGGGATGATGAAGAAGATGGCCTCCAAAGCATTGTGTCCCACCAGGGTTCCCTCGCTGGGGGAGAGGCAGGATGAAGCTGTGGTACCAGAGAAGGGTCTCACCTCCCAGGAAGTTTTGATTATTTATCTCACTATTGAGTCATCTGTGTAAGCAAGGGCACAGGGGAAACCCCTGAACTATACCACTCTGTGGATAGAAAGAAGGGTTTATTGGGTCAAACTGCCAAGACTGTCTCTCCTTGCATGTGTGTGTGTGTGTGTGTGTGTTCGCAGGTGTTAGGGGAGTGGGGTACAGTCCAGCATCTCCTGGGAGGTGGCATGGAGATTTGGATCTATTGCAGGCTTGCTTGAGTTCATTGCTGGAGATCATTGTCGGCAGGGCACAGACAAGGGAAGTAATGACTTTTCCCAACAGACACCAGCTTCCCACGGTTTCTGGGGAATGCTGAGTTTAGGTTTTGTTGATCTGCTAGCAGTCCTCTGTTTGCCCAGACGGAGTCCAGCCTAAGCTGAACTCAGACCTTCAGGGGTTGCCGCTGTCACCAGTATCACTGTTCGGGGGCCCTCTTTGGACCTAACAATCTACATACTTCTCGGATTTTGTTTCATCTTTTCTATAAAATGTCACCACGACTAGCAAAAGAAGTGAGAAGAAACTAAGAATTTTTTCTCGCCCCAGTTCTGGCCAGAACTGTAAGTAAATTCACCTCCCTTTGCTAATTCCTGTCTGCTGGTTTTCTTTCGCTAAGACTGCAAGGCACAGACCTCAGATTCCAGACTCTGCTAGCCAGTTTGGGAGAACCGGTCAGGAGTGTGTATTCCTCGCTGGCCCGTCAACCCTGCAGTTGGAGTCCTCGGGATTTCCAGCGGCTGCTGGGATCCTGGAATGTCCCCTTCCCAGTGCAGTGCTGGTTGTGTATATGTGTGTCTCGTGGATAAACTGGTTAAGGAAAAGGTTCTTCTTTTTCTGACTTGCTCTTCATTTGGAAAAATTCTTTGGTTTTGTAGTTTGTAAACTCTCACGGTCTGTCCTTTCTCTGTGCAGTCGGCACTCATTTGTAAAGAGGTTCAAGAGGACCCAGGGACACTTGGAATGTTTACCGCGTAGGGGCCTCTTCTGTTTCATTTGAAAACTGTGCAGTAAAGATTGCACGCCTGGACCTTTGCAGCACTTGGTTCTACGTGTGATCTATCTGTTGTTGTGGAATAAAGATTCCGCATCTGGGCCTTAAGTAGCAGTGTGGACAATCTCCCTTGGATTGTAGGGTATTCATTTGAGCTATTTTCCATTTTGAGTCTATAAGCTTTGTACCTGGCTGGGGCCGGATCTGAGCAGACAGTGAGTTCTGGGTTGATTAACAGATAGCCACTGACAAAAACTTGGCCTACCCTTCACATTCCTGAGAGTCACTTAATAACCTAAGGATACTTTCTTATTTTATTAATTAATTTTTTTCATTTATTTTACATCCCAACCACAGTTTCCCCTCCCTCTTCTCCTCCCATTCCCTCCCCCTGCCTCCGCTCTGCTTCCCCATCCACTCCTCCTCTGTTCAGAAAGGGGCAGGCCTCCCATAGGTGTCAACAAAGCATAGCATATCAAGTTGAGGTAGGACTAAGCCCCTCCCCTTGTATTAAGACTGAGGGAGGTGGCCCAGTATGAGGAATAGGTTCCTGAAAGCCAGCCAAAGCATTAGGGACAGTCCCTGTTCCCACTATTAGGAGTCCCACAAGCAGACCAAGCTGCATAACTGTCACACACATGTCGAGAGCCTAGGTCTGTCCCACGCAGGCTCCCCAGTTGTTGGTCCAGAGTCTCTGAGCTCCTATGAGTCCGGGTTAGTTGTTTCTGTGGGTTCCCTTGGGAGACCCTTTCTTTTTACATTTCTTCTTTAGAGATCATTTTTGGCATGCTGAATTTAGGTAATTTTATGTGTTGGTCTGATATGCTTTTCGCTATGATGATTGAGAAAGGCAAAGTTCTGGTGCCTTCGAAGCGGTCCTGTTGGGAGACAGGATGCTCTCTGCCCGCTCCTGGTGACTCTAGCTGACTGGAGCTGTGGCATTGCTGTCGGATTTCTGACCCCAGACGGAGTGGCCTCACGAGGAATCTCATCAGGAGAGCCTGTGTCAGTCCTGGATGCAAGGGGCTTCAATATCTTGCTGCACACAAGGGCCTAGTCAGCTACTCTACACCCCTGGGTGTAAGGATGTCGGGAGACACCTAAAGAGGGGCATTTAGCGTATGATGGCGCTCTGGAAAGAAGTGCCCACCAAGCAGCATAGCTTATTGACCCAAAATATTTTCCTACCACCGATTTCTTCAACTATCCTGAGACCCCAACCAAAAGGAGCTCAAGACAGCTAAACTTAAATCTAAGGCCGTATTTGCTGAAAATATTAACTAGCCTCCTCCAGACGCTGTGTTTCTTTACTCTTCATATTACTGAAGTTGCTATTCTTTTTTATTTATTTTAAATTTTTTCTAAACAATCTTTTTTATTTAACATACCAATTCCAGTTCCCCCTCCCTCCCCTCCTCCCACTCCTGCTACCCCACCCCCACCCATTTCTCAGAGAAGGTAAGGCTTCCCACAGAGAGTCAACAAATTCTGTCACATCACATGAAGGCAGGACCAAGGCCTTCCCCCTGTATCTAGACTAAGTAAGATATCCCTTCAAAGGGAATGGGTTCCAAAAATTCAGTTCGGGCACCAGTGATAAATCCAGGACCTGTTGCTAGTGGCCCCTCACACTGCCCAAGTCACACATAAAGTTGCTATTCTTGGTATATCCTATTTAAAATGTTTTTGCATCTATGTGTAGGCATTTTTGCAT